CGGTGTATTTTGGTTCTATTTCTGTCGTCTTTGTTCTTATATTCTTTATCTCACCTTTGTCAATTGTGTGGCTCATTTGATAATTTCCATCTGTTCACCAAAGACTTTGTTGATTAGCGACCCTGCTTTGTACAGTCATTGTCGAGTCACAATAAACGACAGCAGCTATTGTCTTTGTGCTTCACAATCACACAAAGCAAGAACAATTGCAATATATACCCAAGGGGTTTCGTTGTAATTCGTGATATCCGTTTGACTCAGAAGTATTCTCAGAAACCACATTCAGATATTCTACAAACTACTTCAACACTTTCATTAACAATTCCACAAATTTAACCTTTCAAGATTTTTGGAACAACCACACGAAGTACATTCAATCTTTACAACTACAATTATGCCTTCAACTCGAGTCTTCAGTCGTATCGGCGCTGCGTTGATTCTCGCTGCCGGCAGCGTGAATGCCGCATATACTCTTGCTGATTCATATGACCACACAAATTTTTTCTCAGAGTTCAGCTTCTTTTCTGGCGCTGACCCAACCAACGGCTTGGTCGCATATCAGAGCGCTTCTGCTGCCAACAAAACTGCGCTTGCTGGGTATACCAACAACGCTGGTGTTAATTCTGTTTATCTCGGAGTGGATCACACTACCTCACTTTCAGAAACTGCCGGAAGAGCTTCAACTCGTGTTAGCTCTAAAAAAGCATACACACATGGCCTGTTCATCGCTGATGTCGCTCATATGCCAGAGGGATGCGGAACTTGGCCTGCTCTATGGAGCTTCGGCCCCTCGTGGCCCGCGAATGGAGAAATCGACGTGATTGAAGGAGTCAATGCCGGGACCACAAATCAAATGACTCTTCATACCTCGAAAGGGTGTGTCATGAGCAATAGCGGATCTGATGCCGGAACAACTCTTGTTGGTTCAGACTGCAACGCGGGTGGTGGAAACACAGGTTGTGGTCAGACAGTCAAAAACACAGCAACCTATGGTCCAGGCTTTAACGCAGCAGGAGGTGGGGTGTACGCTTGGGAATGGACATCATCCTACATTGCCATCTACTTTTTCTCCCGTACAGCTATTCCGGCAAACATTCAATCTGGCAAGCCAGATCCCGCCGCTTGGGGAACGCCGATTGCCAAATTCTCTGGCAGTGGTTGCAACATCGACAGTCACTTCAACTCCCACAACATTATCCTCGACACCACGTTCTGCGGAGATTGGGCTGGGCAAGTTTGGTCAAGCGGTGGTTGCGCAGCTAGCACTAAAGCTGCCACCTGCAATGCTTATGTTTCTTCTAATCCAACTGCATTTAATAATGCTTACTGGATCATCAACTCGATCAAGGTCTTCTCAAGCTAAGCTGCCAAGGAAGACATCACTCCTATGACATTCGAGTCATAGATGAGCTGTTATCTCGAGGATGCTCTTTTCTAATTCAATATTTTACTTCTTTTCACTTTTCAACCTTTTCACTTTGATACTTGTACCTTCTACACTTCACACTATGTTTTCATGAATATACCATGTACTCTAGCTCGCATTGATAGATTCTCTGGCGTTTGACAAGGAAATACCACAATTTCATTTGCACATTTGGCAGTTTTCGCAATCACATGTATGAGGCGTAAGGGCGTTTTGGCTCAAAAGTACCCGTGGGATTGATAAATGGTTTACCTAAGATACCTATTGAAATCGGAGGATTCCTGTTTTATGTACATGCATGGTAGAATATAGACACAACACAATGCTATTTTTCCAGTAATGATTAACTCATAATATTCCGTGATATGTGATGATGAAAATCTAAATTTAGATTGATGTTATTACTCGCCAAACCAAGAAGAACACGAATTAGATGAGCAGGTATGTAAATAATCTAACATGTATGATTTTCTTCCTATATCTTCATGGAGATGCCAAGCTTTTCCACAGAGCAGAAATCTACAGGGTAGAATTAGACCTTGATCCAAGCTCTAGGCCTTCAAGCATCAAAAATTTAGCGAAGATCGTCACTAATAAACATCACTGAATCCTTGACCGTAAAGCTTCACTCCAGTATTTATTTTCTCTGTACGAAGTAAACAACAATCCTTGCCTTACCTCACGCCAACCACATTCATTCGAATCATAAATCCTTTACCATTTACAGCTTGTAGAATTTCTCGGGAAACTATCATAATGCATCCTTCTAGACAAGCTTACGTGGAGGAGGCCAAAGAAGTAAGTTATACCCCTCCAACTATAATCGTGCATACAAACAAACATCAGGCAGATGAACAAACACACCTTCACAAACAGCAGCTAACCTCCATTCCTCTTCACGCAGGATACAGGTATAGATCTTGCAGATGTCCCTCTCGACCGCGACTATGATATGCCATCCGCAACCGCTGGCATTGCTCCCGAACGTGCCAGCGCAATTCTTTCTCAATTCGATCGCAAACGTCGCGCAGCCGCGATAGCGGTCCCCACCGATGATGGACGCGTGCGCGCACGACTGAGAGAAATGGGTGAGCCTATCACATTATTTGGAGAAGGACCAGGTGATAGGAGAGATCGATTACGACAGTTGTTGACGATTGAGAGTGAAATGAAGGCGGAAGAAGATGGAGCGGATGAAGATGGTGATGTGGAGATGGGGGAGGGGGGCAAGGACGAGGAAGCTGAAGAGGAATTCTATACTAGGGGGACGAAGGAATTACTCGATGCGAGGATAGAGATTGCGAAGTTTTCGTTGCCGAGGGCGAAGAAGAGGATGGAGATTCAGAAGATCGAGAAGGACATTCCATTGAGGACTCATATTAAGTTCAGACAAGGGGTGAAGGAGAGACTCAAGGATTTCGAGCTTCAGGGAAGTCAAATGGCGGCCGAGAGACCAGTCAGTATTGTGAGAATTTCGCCAAATGGAGAATTGGTCGCGGCTGGCAATTGGGGAGGTGGAATCAAGCTACTTGGAATACCAGATCTGGAAATTAAAAAGTCACTAAGGGGCCATACAGATAGAGTGGGTGGAATTTCTTGGGCACCGGGTGCCACGATAGAAGGATCGAATGTTTCGCCTGGAAGCATCAACTTGGCGTCAGGAGGAGCGGAAGGAAAAGTTCATCTATGGAATCTGGAGCAAGATACACCTGTTTCAACGCTTGCGGGGCACAATCAGAGAGTTTGCCGAGTGGAATTCCACCCATCGGGGAAATATGTCGCATCCGCATCCGAGGATACGACATGGAGACTATGGGACGTCGAAACCACTACGGAACTTTTACTTCAAGAAGGACATTCAAGAGGTGTTTTCTGTCTCAGTTTCAACGGCGATGGATCACTTCTAGCAAGTGCAGGAATGGACAGTATTGGACGTATCTGGGATCTCAGAACAGGCCGTACAGTTATGATCTTAGATGGACATATCAAACCCATCTACGCGCTCGACTGGTCTACCGATGGTCATCGTGTTCTGTCTGGATCTGGCGACGGTTGGGTCAAATGCTGGGATGTGAGAAAAGTCGCAAGTACCGGTGCCGTGGGTGCACATCGTAGTGTAGTTTCTGATTTGAGATGGTTCAAAGGGATGGATGCAGAATCGTTGCCTGAGAAAGATGAAAAGGGAGTTGGGAAACCAAGGAAAGCGGGAACATTCTTTGTTTCCAGTGGTTTTGATAAGGACGTCAAAATCTTTTCGGCGGATGACTGGGCGCTGGTACAGAGTTTGAGCGGACATACAGGGAATGTGCATAGTTGCGATGTAGGTGCAGATGGTAAATGGATCGTCAGTGGAGGATATGATAGAACGGTCAAGTTATGGGGAAGAAATAACGGAGAGGGTGTTTAAACGTCTATTTCATCAAGTACCAAGGCGTTGGGAGACAAAAGTACAAGATTCTTTTTGCACATTTAACTTGTTAGACTGGCTAAGGATTAGCTTCTTGCATACAAGAACGGCGCATCGGTGGGTCGCTTAAAGCTGTAAGAGAAATAGCATAAGGCGTTTTGATTTGGATACCCGGAACATGCATGTATGTATATGGAGAGAAAATAAACATTAGAAGAGCCTCATGGAAGCTGTGAATCTGGAAAATGTTTGATACGTTCAAATATGCTTGGACTTAGTATTCGAGATGACAAATAGTGTTTGGTTATTCGTGGAAGGCTTTCTTGAATGTAATCAGTATCCATCATCCCAGTCACTGCATCTTTAGACACTTCCAAACATTTCCTAGATTCTACTCTATAGATATCTCTACTATATACCTAGTAGCTACCTACCTACATCTTCACCAATACAAAGAAAAGTAAATAGCATAAAGACATATATCACCTGACGTCTTCACAAAGGGTATTTCTCACATGCTGAATCAGTTCATAGAAGTCGGAAGTTCGATGTCCATCATCGCTGCAAGTATTACTATTCCGCTACGCATACAATATATCGCTAAATTCCTTCGCTATAATCAATCCCGTCTGATATCATCTAGACGAATTGTATATGATCACTTGCTGAACTCATTCCAAGTCACTTTGAATAGAGACAATAGTGACAACTTTTTGCAGTGAAAACGTACCTTACATCCTTCTCATCCAGAATTTGAATCCCCTGTCATATAAAAAACATCTAGTTATACGACTATTTGGGCCCATACAGTATTCACAGGCCAAAGGTCGTACAGCAAAATAGCCAATAAAAACATATCGATATTTATAGTATATGCAAATGATAAAGCGCAGCAAAACCCCGGATAACCCATATTATATGCAAATCATTATCATTGCAAGATTGCCAACCCTAAGACTCCAGATCAAAATGGGTATCGATCGCATCGCTCATTCCATCGAATCATTCCCATCGAATCGGAGAATCCTACTTCAAGTTTCCTCCTCGATAAATCGAATCCGGAGCTTACCCGCGCCGCAAGCTTGCTTAAATTTCCACAATGCGCCCTATTTCCCTCCCGACAGTGCCAAATCCCAGTAAATATTTTCCTCATGCAAACACAAAATTTCAGCTCCCCTCCATCCTCAAGCACCCTAAGCAAAGCACCTCTCCCTCAGTTCCTCTCTCCACACAGCATCTGCTACAAACCATCCCCCTATGCTTCATCCCCTTCTCTCCCCAGCCCTCCTTCCCTCCAACTTCTTCTCCCATCTCCGTATCCCCCCACCCGCCAAGACACTCCCTGATACACACCCAACAAGCTCTTTTCCCGCACCCCTCACAATTCGCAAACGCATCCAATTCCTTCTTCACAGTTGGTTTGCGTCGACATATATGACAAGCTCGTAAATCCATTCCAGATCCACTCTTCTCCTTCTCCTTCGTTTGTTCCATTCTAGACTCGGGTTCTGAGGGTAGATATTCGACTCGAACTCGTTTGTTTAGACTCATTTTTGACCGGGGAATTAGGTGTCTGCGTTCAGATTCATGGTGCATGGCGTGTGGGTGGAGGTTGTGTGGATGCGGATGTGGATGGATGTGTGAATGTCTAGGACTATTTCAATGATTAGCTAACTGCTCACAACTCCTCCTTCTCTATTGCATTTAATCTTCTAGAGATCCAAAGAACAAACCAAAAACCAATCTACAAATAAGCAGCACATACCTATTAATCTTCATCTGCACCTCCTCATCCCTCACATCTGCAAAATTCGCAACATCCCTCCGTCTCTTCAACAGATTCACAGCTCCATTTGTACTCATATGAAAATCCATAGATGGGATATCCCAATCTTCTTGTGCTATCGAAGGCATATTGTTTTCCTGCTCGAAGCACAAATTATATCTCGCTCCAGTCTTTATACAATTCCTCGAAGATTCTCGAATCGCAAATGACAATCGCAGGTCGTTATCAAGAAATAAATTCAGGCGGCAAGATCGCTTGCAATGCAGATGGTAAAGGATAAAGAAAGGCAGAGTGAGATATAAAGAAAAATGAACTTAAAGATGGTGAGAGGGTGTTATAAGCTGAAGATATTGTAGGTAGATCGAGATCAAGGAACGAACGTAGTTTGTGTAATGAAGGGTTGAGATGAGATCCAGTTGTTTACAATCACAAGAGAGCTTCATCGGAATTTGATCGATACTCGCCGACCCAAATTGACAGGGATCACTAGAACTAGCTATATATTTTTACAGTCATATCACTTCCAGGACTATCATAGGTAATGAATGTCTAATACGGCTATTCATGTTTCGCCATTAAAACAAATTTTAATTGTAGGAGTATTCCTGCATAATTCCTAACTTGTTCTCATCTATTATCTACTCTGCATTTCTAATGTAGTAGTTATTCAATATTCATAACCCATGCCACTAAATTGTGTCTTCTTTCCTTTCCTTTTCTCTGCTTTTCCTATACCTATATCCATAATATCATAAAAATGCACCATCATCTTCTTCTTTTTCTTCACGTCCCTGAAGTACTGATGACCTCCTGAAAGTTACTCCAAGCACAAGAACACCCCCCTGTTCCTCCATCAAAACCTCCAAGCGATGAATCACTAATATTCAAGAAAACGCTCGGAGCTGGGTTGATAATCTTGCCTCCGAATGCTCTATTCTCCCCATTGACCACTCCACTGGTCGCTACAATCCCTTCTCTCTCATTCATACTATAACAGTACAGCAGCTTCCTACTAGGATTTCCTCCATGTCGATCGGTGGTAATAGTGATCGGATAAGGAAACGATCCAGGTTGCGAGAAATCTTGCCCTGCAATGACTGTAGAGGCACCAGTAGAACTAGTAGCATTGTTGAGTCTGGCAGTTCCATTCATTCTGGTCCACATCTGTACTAAGAAACGAGTTTCACCCCATGTGCAACGGAAATTGGCTTCCCCTTCAAGAGCTCCGCCATTCTGATCATCAGGAACTTCACCGTTGGAGGTATTGGTATCGTTGAGTAATGAGAGAGATTTGAGGAAAATGGTACGATTGAAGTAAGTATAGAATCCATAATGCTCAGTAGGAAGTCCTCGATCGTACAAACGAATTGGCTGTTGAATGGGATATGGGAGAAGGTTAGCTGGAGCGGCAGTGCCATCAGGATTCAGACTTGGGGCCGGAATTCCAGTAGTGATATTCGGGAACAGATCTGGATCGGTATTGTTTGAGTCTGCACGCTTCACACGGCTGTAAGTCGGTAAAGTAGTGTTTGTGGTGGACAAGAAAGATATATAGAAAGGTGTTGATTCTCCAGCTTTATTGGATGAAACTATCCCATCTGTGGTATCTCCCAAAAACGCTTCTTCGGCATATGATGGTGGTGGCGGCGAGGGATTGAAAGTAACGGTTTGACGTGCTCTCAATATCAAGTCTCTGATGAATTTCCCAGCAGAAACGGGGTTACCGACAAGACTGCGTGTGGGGAGGTTCTTGTTTCCCGTGACATTTGCAAAAGTTGCATTTGCCGCACTGCTATTGTCCCATTGAATCTCCAAAAAGAAATTAGGCTGATTTGGTAGATTTGGTGCGACAGAAGCTTGTTGCTCTTTTGGTAAAGCACAGCTCCATTGCGTAGCTGGGAATACGCAGCCAGTATTCGTCACAATATTCACTGGAGCTGCTACCGTCGAGAGCCCAGCGTAAATAGGAGGGAAGCCAGTGAGATTCAACCATTGAGATGGCAACACAACATGTTTTGGCTTGCGAGTTAGCGTCGCAGCAAGGGCTACAATGGTGATGATCAACACAATCAATGCAATGGTTCCGCAGCAATACCATCTTCGTCTTTTTCGGCCTTCAGGGCCTTGCCTACCCTTTTTAGGTATACATTTCTTGAACAATCCACCTAATTTGCTAGCCATGCTATCTTCCCTTTCGTTTCTTTGACGCTTCGACTCTGATTTTTTGGCGGCTTTGAGAGCTGCTTTATCTGCCATTTGCTCGAGATATTCTTCAGTCATAATCAAAATTGTTGGTGTTGTCTGTCTAGCAGGCCCAGGGTATGCAGTGCTCTGATTGGTTCTACCACGCGCAGGACTCAATGGAACCTCTGACAGCTGAATAGAGGCTTGTGAAGCCATCTTTCGTTCGCTTTCTGGGGATATGGGACCGGGGGAAGCAGGATATTGCAAGGTCGAAGCTGCTGCTGAAGCTTGAATCACCGCTGGTTCTGGTGCTTGTGCTGGAGCAGGTGCTGGAGCAGGTGCTGATTCGTGTGAGGAAGGAAAAAAGGCTCGATATTTTCTGAGTTTCTTTGGCGATTCAGTGTAAGGTGGCGGCGGTGGTGGTTCGGTAGCGTTATTCACAATAAGTGTTCTCGATTTCAACCCTGAATCATTCAAGTCCGCATCTTTAATCATCCTCGAGTCGTTGTAAAGATCAATGTTACTATTTTGGTACCGAACAAAGGGATTATTGCTTCCGAGTTCTTTTGTACTATCGTCTGAAGACAACAACGAATTGTCTTTGTTGACCAAAATAGAATCCTTTTGTGATAAACCCGACATATCCGAATGGTCATGAGGCATTGTAGAATTTGAAAAATTCACAGAATCTGCGGTGGTAGTCATATTAATGGCGCTAGCCAATGATGCATCTCCCACATCGCCCGAAGCTGAACGAACAAAGGGTAAAGTAGCTATCGACGGCTTCACCGGATGTCTCGTCTCTTTGTAAACTAAACCAGGGGAAACCTGTTTCTCTGATCTGAAGCCTAAGGGAGTCACATCCCACCAAGCATCAGATGCATTAGAGCTTGACCTTTTAATTGAAAGGGGAGAAAAAAGCTGTTCCCATGACTTTCGCTCCACCTTTGACTCCTGAGCTTTGGCTGCTGCAATGGTTAAAATAGGTACTTCAGGGATATCGGAAATCTTCTTCTCTGGATATACTATTGTGTTCGAACGCGTCATAAATGGCGAAGTGATATAATTCCACCATCCAGAGCGGGTCCGTGCAGCAATGGTGTCAATACTTTCATGGCTGTCCACTTTCAATTTATCTGGAACATTGACTGCACGAGCACTTCGTACAACAATTGGATGTTCATCCTCTTCATAAATGATACAAGACGACAGAACTCGGGTTGAATCTGGTTCGTCATCCCATTCAGTAGTGGCATCCGAATCGGGAGAGAAATAACTATGCTGAGCGGCCACTCTTCGCTTCTCCTCTTCAGCTAAAGCTGCTGGCATTTTCGGCAATGGTGGTGCCCCCTCTTTGAATGGGTCATTGGGGCTAGCTACTGAAAAGGATGTCGATAGAGTTCGTGCTCGGGAAACATTCGAAGCAGTACTGTACGGCGACCACGCAGAGATCTCATGGGCAGGCGTAATGATGATAGATGGCGTTACCAATTCTTTCCCTGTCGGTGTCTCGTGCCCATAACTTCCCATCATTGTTGAAGCGATTGAAGTTGATGTTTGCGGGGTGGTTACATGATGAGCTAAACGTGCAGATGGGATTGATATGCCGATAACAATTGGACGATCGTTAGGAGATAAGTCGTCCTCTAGCTTCAGAGCTGCTGGTCTCAAAGATCCCCGTCGCTCTGCCAGCGGAAAGACATTTGGTGTTTCGTTCTGTACTGGTTCAGGAGCCTCGGTCTTAGTCTCCTCAGCAGAGTCTTCAATGGCTTTATTTTTCTTGCTCTCCAACGATTTCCACAAAGTTCCGTTTGGATGAGCCGAAACATTTTCCAATTTCCTGAGGGTGACCAAATCAACAAAAACTCCATTGGATCGAGACTGTTGTGAAGATATCGCTTGAGGTTGAGGTCCATGATGTGTTGAAAAGGTTGTTTGGACTTTAAGGCGGAGATTTGCATGGATCTTGCGCTGTCTTCCCTTTGACTTCTCTCTTATCACTCTCGATATGGAGGACTTTCTCTCTCTACGACTGAATGTGCGTGTCATGTTTCCTGCGCGGCTGGTAGTAATATTTCCTGAGGGTCTCGACTGTTGTAGCTCCTCCGGTGAAGCGATAGAATATACATCTTCGTCTTTCCAAGAATCATCATCTTCGCTTTTCCCGTCAAATATGGTTTCAAAAGGATTTTCTGTAAGTACCGTGGAAGGATTGTTCGTAGATAGAGCTGGCGGTCTCTCAACAGGAGATTTAGATATGATCTTGTTTTTGGTATTCATGGCGAAATGGTTGCAAAAATTGACAAAATTGTGGTGTGAAAATGGATTGAAGGTGTATATAATGGAAAATTCCTTGCTTTTTGTCCAGCGACGGTCGTTCTTGCTCTAGGTGGTATAGTTGCAAATAATCTCTTTGATTTGAGGAAGGTCGAAACGTTTATTAATTATACGTGAAAAAGGAAATGTCTAAGGTCCAGCCTCCTCATGGTCATAAATAAGAGATGTTCCGAGAATTTCCAGGCCAACAACAAGATTCGGACAACAGGAGATTTTTAGACAATAGCTATTGAGGACTCAACAATAACAAAGAATGATAACGAAAGTGAACGTCTCATAATCCAACCAGACAATAAGCAAAATAAGAAGCGAACGAATCTGTGACAACGTACAATAGAACTACACGTAAGAAAACGAATGTATGAGTAGACAGGAGATAGAGGGATAGAAAAACAATGAAACAGGATTGATGTGATAACACTTCCCATATGAAGTAAACCTACAAATTAACCATGAAGCACGACCTACAATCTAGATTCCAGACTTGAAATACCGAAAATAGCAAACTTTTCTTATTCGCTCACAATCGCCACAAGTCGTTACAAGTCATAATGGTAAAATCATCTATTGACCAGTCGATTGGAGATTGTGGTCTCTTGCTGTAACTTTACGCGCCGACAAGAAAAGTTTGATATGCAGTGATTGGCTGCCGCGTTAAATGAGAACCTATCCATGGATATGGCATGACGATGAATATCTGATCAATGTTACGCAAGAGAATGATGTCCTCTATGATTGGGAGTAATTATCGTGTATTCTCGCAAGGAGATGGATGGGCCTCGTTCAACGTTTGGAAGTTGTTGAAGAATGGAAAAAGAGGAGAGAAAAGATGGGGGAAAGGTGATGGTCACCTTAGATTATTTTTTAGCAGTGACGAGGTGTGTTTTTATCAGCCCTGATCATCATCACATGATAGAGATAGCATTTAATGTACTGCATTTACTAAAACCACGCAGGTGTAAGGATAATACCATTCTACCACATCTTTACGGCGGTTTGTGGTTTCCAGGTTGTACTGAATCTATGCACCCCTTTATGAAAAGGTTTTACTTATGAAACCTACGACACTGCTCTATGTGAACGGTACATACCTGATATATATATATATATATATGTATTGGCATCTAATTTCCATATCCGAATCAATGTAACTTTATACTATAATACAAGTTATAATACCTCGTCCTCCGTCTTTTGGGATAAATGCCTTTACCAAGGTTTCAAAACTGTGCACAGAAAGGAACGGGTCTCATATTCATGACATGATGTCTCTGACGACAGCCGTTTAGTAGAACTTCGCAATTCATTTCTGTGGAATAGAAGTTCTCAGGTAAGGTTATATAAAACATGAACGACGGGAGAAGTATGATTGGGGAGAATTGTACTGTGCTCACTGCGTAAGCTTCAGAGCTGTGCTACCGGGATTTTTTCCTCTTGGTATCACAAATCGCATTATCTCAGATTGAGAACTCGACATCATCTTGAGCGCTTAGCTGGTTCATCGTTCCTGAATGATATGTAGAAGACAGGACTTTAACCTCAAGGCTTGAACCACGTTGAATTGTAAGATGATCATGCTGTCAAGTTAATCTACCATACCGAAGCCTCACTATCAAGTTACGATCCTTCCTCTACCCCATGCAGACACAATAATAACAAATGGAAGTATAATTTGTGAACTAGCTATAGTCTGTCCATATTGTCCTAACTCTCGAACCCAATTCCTCAGCCCCAAGTTTCCAACAAGCTTAGTCTAATAAGCACGCTTGGGTATCGCTACCATGGAGATAATCTGTGGTCCATTGTATGGAGGAGGTGGTACATCATAACGACTTCCCACTTTAAAGAAATTCCCAGGCGGCGTGTCAACCACAGAGCACAATCCTTGTGCAGGCCAGAAATTGGCGCCATTAGACTTCCCATTCGCCGCGCAAAATCTTAGGCAAGTTTCGAAATCATTCGTCATCAGCTCAGGGCCCTGGATGGCTCGGTATATTCCATGCGAAGTGGTGGTTAACCAAGGATGTGTGTATACCATTACTGAACGCTGGCAGTAGATTCTGAAGTCTTGCCCATTGCGATTTACAACTTGCATGTTGGAAGCTGGGCAAGATATAGCGGGAGCAGGTGGCGGTGGTGTGACGCAGGAAGGGGACGTGCCTGAATTGGTGATGCTGTGTCAGATTTGCGACTGGGAAAAGAAGAGTGGATGCGGGAGAGGGCTTGAAGAAAGAAGAGGAGACATACCATCCCATTTGAAATTCTGGCCTGGTGGGCAACAACCTTGCTTCCCACTAGCAGACTGGACTGTGTTTGGTGGCAGACAGCAGGTTGTAGCGCCAGTCTGAGATTGTGCATATCTATATTGCCTTCATCAACTTCCCGTATTCTTTTATCACGAGACAGCCCTGTAGGTTTCCTCAGTCAGGAGAGGATTAGAATCTTACTCTGTTCCAAGACAAACTGTATTTGACGTGTTAGATACATGAAGCTTGAGAAGAAGGGCGGAGATACATACTGCTTATAGCTGCTGTTTCGCATTGGCCCTGGAAGATACCATTTGCATCCTTTTTAGGGACGTAAGTTGGTCCCGCGGTTCTCTTGCAAAAATCCTGGATCGGAATAAAGTCAGATCGTCTTGTTTCTGTAGCACATGTGCAAAGACCTATAGATTCTGAAATAAAAAGGGCTAATATACCTCAGGCGTCTCCAGCTGAGCAGCTACAAAGCTTGCAATGGTGAAAATACCAAGTATTGAGAGCTTGAATGTTTTCATCGTGAAGTAGTAGATGAAGTGGAAAAAGGATAGAATCCAAGTAAAATTGAAAGTTTAATCAGTGACCAAGGGGAAGCGGATGTAGAAGTATGTTTTCCTCCCAGTGTTCTAAAAGAACAAAGTAATTTGCTTGATGTGATAAGTGTGTAACACATGCCCCCATTTCTTCATTTTGCAGGAAGGAGCCGGAACGAGGACACCAAAGCCGTAATGAAGTGCTACCGCCTCCTCACTTGAAGTGACGAGCAATTAAAATTTGATTATTGACAAAATTCCCAACCCCGCAATGCATGTAGGGAGATTCTATTGAGTCCTTACCTCAGAAACATTCCTATCACAGTTTGAGAACCTCGCCGACCATGAAATTCATCTGTAAGCTGTGCCAAACTGCACTCTACTGGCTTTTTGACGTAGCTGTTACTGTTCCAGTATAGTTGCACTATGTTGCACTGTCTTAGGTACTGCTTTGGCGCAGCTATGTTGTAGCTGAGATGTTGTTGTGGCTGCCTGCGTTGTTGAAATCAGTATTTCAAAATACGGAACATTCAAGGCCGCGTAACTAATACATTGCCCAAGTGGTACAGACTTATGGTACAAGTATGGGGTAGTGTACTGGTGTATCTGTACGAAGAATGCCATGCATCATCTGTTGCACCGATGCTTGGCACTTCGTGCCGATCCGGCGCGATTCTCGGAAACTGGTTGAGACACTAGGAATATCATATATCTAGTAGTAACTGTGTGAATCAAATTGGAAGAAACAGAATATATGTGTAGCTGAACTCGAAGAAATGAAAATGCTGTGTGTATGTGCTCACACGGACTTCGGAAGCGAGGCGTACTGCAAGGAGTAATTATTACATTAGCGTCCTCTTCCCGCGAGGATCGGGACGATTATGAAATGGCTGTTGTGATCGATTTGAGTCAGTGATGCATATGCATGAAATTGGTGTTTCTCCGAAAATCCCTACATGCAGAAGAAATTTAGGTGAGGTTGGGAATGAGGCGGTTTCCCCGTTGGGGCGAGGCGTTTTCTTTTGCAAGCGAGATCTCGTGATATCTGATTTTCACCTCACTCCTCTACGTAGGCGAAAACCCCCGCTCGGAATTGTTTTACTGTAATGGTTTCAATCAAAATGGTAAAATGAGTGTATCAACTTCAAAGCAATTGTCATTAAATTCTAGCCTGAAGTAATACTAATCTCTCGTCTCCAAGAATACGACACCAATTGTTCCTATCAACCCCTAGCCATCCCCACTTCCCGAAGATCTTCTATGAGCCAAGATAATAGCTTTTACTAAGTCCTCTTTGTAACAGGGACAGCGCATAAGAAGTCACCTCCGGCAGGCGCTGCTCCTGTTGGGGGACTCTGATGTATAGAGGCCCAAACACAGTTGTCAGTGGGATTACCATCGTCATAGAAGTTGACGCCTTGACAGAAAGGTGTGGCTTTGGCAGCTAGATGCCAGAAATCAGTATTCTATCTCACGGTCCAAAAGGGTGACTTTATGACTCACAGCACTGCTCCATACACTCCTTGAAATCCTTTGCGCTCGAAACTCCCAAGTTTGGATTTGCAGCTGTATGTCCCAACGTACAATAAACCTTGTACTCAACTCCACCCACCGTAGTAGTCTTACCTTCAGCAGCCGGGCATTTATCTGGGAAGGGGGCTGGTGTTGGACATGATGGACATGGAGTTGCACTTGGGCATGGGCAGGGACAAACAGGCTCATCGATAAGATGAGCACTATCATAGGGATCGACCGTCACGGGTACAGCGTTGTTGCCGTGAGTTCGTAGGTAGCAGATTCCGGTAGCTTGGTTCCAAATTGCACGGACGCAGTTACTGATTCCAGAACAGCGAGTCATGCAATCGCCCAATGAAGCTGCGGGTGCTTGACCCAAGTCATTTGTTCCGTGATTAACAATAAGCTTGTTAGACATTGATCAAAGATGAGGTGAGGGACTTTGCTCACTCAATTTGCAATAGAGCTTGTATTTCTTGCCTCCAGCTGTGAATTCTTTTCCGTCACCCTTGGGACAGGAAGGTGTTGGGTTCTAAGACGTTAGTTTTAGTCTAGAAACGTTCAAACCGTGATCCCCTGAAATGCGCACTTACTGGCTTGCAAGAACAATCACAGGTAAACACATCGTCGTCATTGGCACAACAGCTTCCAGTCAAGGTCTTTGGATCGGCATGATAGAATTTACCCGGAGCGCAACAATCGCCTTTCTTCAGTGTGGCATCGAAAGAAAAGACACTTGGAGCAACGCAACATGCTCCTTCAGTCTTAACCACAGGATCAACACTGAAAGTTCCCTAGATTTTTTCAATAAGCTCCAGGTTTTATAGAAATCAATAGAAAAGAAGCTTACCTTGTCTTTACCGCAGCATCCAGGCTTGTTTGTTTTCGGATCCTGGAGAGTTTAGAACGTGATATCATAGCCTTACAGGAAGATCATCTCTTACGGTATATGGACCCCAGTAACAGTTTGTAATTGGAGGAGCAACACATTGTCCAGTCGGTTCTGGATATCCAATAAGCACAAGAGTGATAATTTATCTAGAGAGAACTTACTGCCAGCTGCGTCGAATTGCATGGCTGCGAAGTTTGTCAGAGAGAGCGAAATTTGAGGTCATTGCATCAACTCACAAAATTGAGATCCAGCCTCTGTCACAGATTAGTATTCTAGTTTCTGAGAAGCTTGAAGTGATGATCTTACTTTGCTTGCATACGGCATCCCATTTTGCCTTATCAGCTGGAGTTGGATCGACGGCAAGAACTTGACCTGTTAGGACAGCGAGAGGAAGCAAAAGCTTCACTAAATTTTGAACCAACATGGTAAGATTGAATATCCAGTCCGTGATGTTAAACTGTTAACGAGATTTTTTGTAAATTTGAAAGGGAAGAAAATATGTTAAAGTAAACTTTCCAGAGATTGGTCATAGAAGGCTATACAAAAGAGAGATGGAAAAGAAGATTGCCTCTTCAATTCTCTATCAAATGGGTATCTCTCAACGCAAGCCTCAATGTCCAAAATATGAATTGTATAATGGGGATGCTTGTGGAACATTGATTAAAATTTGTAAAGCTCCGAGAGAACCCGGTTGTGGATGTATGAAGACACCAAAGGGTACTGACTATGTCTCACAACATGATGGGCATGTGTGTTTCTCCTAAAGTTGTTCTGATCGACATTCCGTTAAAGCGAGGGAACCCGCTACGTGTTGACTTAGGATTGTTGAGAAGGTATGCATACGCTGTGCCACTCCTTGCTCTAGTCATATGGCCAAATATTGATTTTCATGTATCTCAGTGATACTGTCTGTAAAATTTCAGTTCAAGAAATGCGGCGCACCTGAACCAACCTTGTTGTGTGACAGTAACTGTTTATTGCCGGCTGAAAGTGTCTTGAATGGCAACGCGGGGAGATATTATCCTCTCGGCTGGAAAAGTGATAGGTTTTATCGGAAAAATAAAAACTTGTACCTGGCTTAGAGAGTATAGTGGCATCACAGATGAGCACAAGGATGCATGAACATATATGGGGCTAATCTAAGGAACGAATTGTATTTACCTTAGAATAGCTGAGGCCCATGTTCCATTTCCGTTGTCATCCGAACAAGAAACACTCTTGTTGTTTAAATTTCCATCAAGTCCAACTTTAAAGCTGAATTTCCCCTCTACACGCTTGCGAGAGATATCCTCGCCTTCATCTTCTTACTATCCTTCTTGAGTCACATTTCATTGACAATCATGATGGGCCTCACTAGAAGTACCCTCGTTGTACTATTTTCCCTTTTCTTTCTATTCCAGCCATTTGTGAACGCTCAAGATCAGGCTCAAGGACGTCCAGGTGCAGCAGCTCCTGCCCCAGCACCCGCGGCTGGTCGACCCGGTAGTGCACCTCCTCCTGATCAAGTCCCAATTCAGCCAGCGGCTTCAGGCGCTGCTCCTGCTGCTGGTAGACCTGGCGCCTCAACTGCCCCCGTGGCCGGGGACCCTGCAGCGGGGAGACCCAAAGTCTATTCCTGTCCGGCAGATAATGGAGCAAGATACACAACGGCAAATGGAGTGACATTCGAGTTGAAATGCGATCACGGTACCACGGCTAAACCTCTTGATTCTACGACCACAGCTACACAAAAGGAATGTGCAGATTATTGCTCGACCCTTCCAAATTGCCAGTCTGCCGATTGGAACATCAATAGCAAAATGTGTGCAACAAAGCAGGAGGTATGTGTATTGCTTAATCTTTGAGTGTGATTGCGATTCGCTAACTTTAGTAGTACATACCGGTGAGTAGAACTAAGTTAGAAAGAGGAGATTTATCTTTTGCTTTATTTACTGACAAGAAAAGACATTTCCTCTTCCAGGAACGCACACCTGGTTTCCTCTCGAAGAGCGCAAGCAGCGTCCCGATACTGAGTACCGCACACCACCAGAATGCCCAGCACCCAAGGTAGCCCTCGCAGAAAGTGTGACCGCCAGTGCAAGTTTCACAACGGATGGCGAATGTCCTACCAGTAAGCACATACTCAAATTTACAGGAACCATCTTATTCACTGACAATTTCAGATGATGGAAAGACCTTTTTGACTCCACAGGGCACATACTTCAAGGTCAAGTGCGGCTTCGAGAATACAGCTGAAATTACGGTCTCTGGAAGCCGACCACTTCATGACTTTGCCGAATGCATGACTGCTTGCGCAGATATTCCCGAATGCAAGAGGTATGAAGTACAGTCTATCAGAAATATTGGAACGAGACTGATTAAGATAGTGTAACATTTGCTAACGGAAAGCCCAACTGGGAGTGTAAAATGTTCGAGGCTGGCGTTGAAGCTTTAACCTCAGATGCTACCAGTAATTATTTCATATTACCTATTTTGATTCGGTGGAAGCTGATTATTCTCTGTAGACAAGAAAGCATCTGCAGTTGTCATTGACCCACCAACATCTGCAAAGCAAGACGACCTGACATACCTTTGCTCAACAGAATGCCCAAATGCTGATGGACAAACATGGGATTCTCCAACAGGACAAGTGAGTGTCTAATGAGAGAAAGCGAAGTTTGAGACTGTGACTAACTATGCTCAGCGATTCCGTATGGACTGTTGCAAGCGCCATGGAACGATTCCTATCGGTGATACACAGGCAGGCTCTTTAGAGGAATGCATGAAGATTTGCGGATTCACATTGGCGTGTCAATCTGTTGATTTCCAGAAGGACACCGGAATGTGTTATTTTGGAAAACATTCAGGTGCACCCACTATTGCTGCATCTGGATGGGCTTCTGCCTATGCAATTGGTTGTGCTGGTGCTTGCAAGAAAGAGGGACGTTGCGTTGCGTAGGAGCTTGAAGTTGAATTTGAGATAGTGTTGTTTTCGAATGTCTACCATGCATGGTTTTGTTGTCACTGTTGGATGTAAAGAATGAAGAAAAATGGTCAGCCCAGATGAATTAGAAGTCTTGCATGTAGAAATTGAAGAAGTATAATTCATCATCCCACAAGGCCATAGAGGTTTGGTGATTATCGTATCACGTGTGATCATATGATGTGCATATTAGTGGAAACAAGCCTGCGAGGTCTGCTCCTTGGCGTGTGGTCAGTGGGAGATCATTTTTGAGAAGCATCTATTCCCTCTGTTCGATTTTCGTATTTGAGTATCTAGTAGTAGTCTTCATGACCTCCGACTTGCACATCCAGCTGCGAATACTTTTGGGCAACTCTTTCGTATTAGGTACTCTGGAAGATAAGAACGGATGGTAGTTGTGGTGACAAGCTTACTAACACTCTGTCCGGTGTTTGAATCCTCATTTGTGATGTTGACGGCGACAGTGGTATGGACATCCTCGTATTGTCTGCAGTTGTCGTATGCAGCTCACCATCTTGACCGTATAGAATCTTCACCGTTGAGATGCCACCATGTCCAGTTCCAAGACCCACTGAACTTGCGAGATATACATATTGCTTTGGAAATTAATGACGGCTGCCGTGGTGACTTTGTATCCATCTCCAAGACCTGCCTTGTCAACGCCAGACCTAGGATATATCATCGCTTTGTTGTTTTCGATGAGCAAAGTATTGAAAACGGCTGTAACGTTCAGCTCAAGATGTGAAAGATCTCATCACCTCATCGTGTCTTCAGTAAGAAGCCTAAGCTAAGCCACTGTACTCCTATACACGCACCAAGGTTATCTGTTCACCGATTGTGTATCCAACGTATGTTTCAATAATTTAAGGTATAATAACCTTTAAAGGAGAGGAATAAGGTTACCTACCTCGCCTACCTACCTGGGAAGATGCACCAGATGAGACGAGGATAGGATAGCCACTCAGTCGAGCCAGTAGACTCCCTCGAGACTCCTACACCAAGTATGACCAAGCCAATTGATAAGAAATTGCTATCGGATCCCCAGTTTACCCAGCAGCAGCAGTCAACATATAATAATAAGGCGTCTCGGCGTGCCGCGTATGGGCGTGATATTCCCTAGCACAATCGATTCCTAGATTACCCCTATCAATGAAGCGTAATTACACAAGATAAATTAATTTCAGATTTTTGTTAATTTCATTAATAAATGGAGAAAGAAAGGATTGGTATAGGAACAGAGGAATAATTACATCTGTTGACCCAAGTATATAGTACATAGTATATAGTTTAATTCATCTTCACTTCCTTTCCTTCTTGCCATCCTGCCATCTTGCCATCTTGCCATCTTACTATACTCATAGTCATACTCATACATACTCATACATACATGTATATCGTATTCAATTCTTCAAACTTCACACAAATATCACAAACAAATCAAAAACGCCATTCAACAAAACGCTCAAGCCAGTAGTTCTCAAAGCAGAAATACGAGTAAATAAAGTACAGTACCGCTACACCATCCATCCCTTATCTAATAAACACGAGAGAACGCCAAGAACCTCAGGACACTTTGCATTCAGCCAACGAATTCATTCCATAGAGTGGTCGCGACTTGAATTTTTTGAAAAGCTCGAGTAAGGTGATAGGAACGAGCTAGTTATAGTGTCTCATTAAATTTATTGTGTATTAATTTTTTTTGACTTTCTTTGGTCATTTCGTCAAGCTGGCGTCCTCCGGTCTTTCTTCTTTAAAATCCTCCCACCAACATCATCGAAAACGGTCATCAATACACATAAAGACAGGAATTGAGCCCGACGAACGAACTTCCTCCCATTCCTCCACCCGGGTGTTATCACCTATACCTGGAACACCGATTGGTTCAATGTCATTATCGCGAAGTCCATCTCCAAGACCTGGAGGAGGATGGGCTAGTCCAGGTCTTTCAAGCCCTTATGCCAATGTCAGTGGAAGATCGAGCCCAAATAAAATGCAAAGGACAGGCGGAAATGGAGGTTCGGTGACTTGGGAGTCTGCGAGAGCAAAGAGCGAGGAAGTAAATGGTTACCCTTCATTTTCAACAAAAAACAATGGCTTCTTCAATCGGCACATCAGAAATATATCAAATAGTCTGCCGCATTTTCACATGGGAGGGGATGGCAGTTATGCGGAAAAAGAGAAATTGGGGCGCGGACGATGGTTAGGTTCATCTAAGCTGGCACGTATAAGAAACGGTCTTGCGAGAGTCAGTAGCAAGATGAAGTTGCGATTTATGATTGTTTTGGGGTTTGTAATGATGATAATTCTTTTCTATTCTACACGTAAGTCAACCCATCGAGCAGGGGACAGCGAGAAATTCTGACCTCGAGATAGCTTTACATTACTGGTGGCGCCGAGCAACGCATTTTGGAGGGGGCAAAAAGTTCGTTATAATATTGGCAGCAAATCAAGGAGGTGGAGTTATGGAGTGGAAGGGACCAAGGGAATGGGCAATCGAACGAGACAGCGTGAAAAACAAACGGAAATACGCAAACAAATGGGGATACGAATTGGAGATCGTGGACATGAGCACCAAGAAGAGATACGCACACGAATGGAGAGAGAGTTGGGAAAAGGTTGACACTATCCGAAATTCTCTGAGAAAATATCCCGAAGCTGAATGGTAAATTGGACCCTGATATGCAACGAATGGAGCTTAGAAGCTAACACTGCGCAGGTTTTGGTGGCTCGACCTCAACACCTTCATTATGGAACCTTCCTACTCCCTCCAATCCCACATCTTCAATAGCCTAGCCAAAAATACCTACCGCGACATCAACGATTATAACCCACTGAACATTACACACCCTCTCGACTCTCCCTACCTAGATGCCGAATCTCGTAGCACTGTCGGAGACGGTCAAGCAAGCTCTATAAACCTTATAGTCCCACAAGATTGTTCCGGCTTCAATCTTGGTTCTTTCTTCGTCAAACGCAGCGCATGGACTGATCGCCTTCTCGACGTATGGTGGGACCCTGTTGGCTATGAACAAAAACACATGGAATGGGAACATAAAGAACAAGACGCGCTCGAATTCTTGTACATCAATCAACCTTGGATACGTCCTCATACCGCATTTATTCCACAGCGCAAAATCAATAGTTTCCCACCTGGAGCATGCTCGGATAACGGAAACGATACGCGAATTCATTATGATGAACATGATCGGGATTTCTTGGTTAATATGGCAGGTTGCGAGTGGGGTCGTGATTGTTGGGGTGAGATGTATAATTACAGGGAGCTGAGTAATTTCTTGAACAGAACATGGTGGGAGAGGTTCAAGGAGGATCTGGTGATCAAGGCATGGCAAAAGATCATGGGAAAATCGAAGCCAAAGGATGCCGCGAATGGCAATTCATAAGATTTATGATCGAACTCGGATGGAAGGATAATCGACGGATGAATGAGTTTGAACGGGGATATCCCCATTACGGTTACGAAACGAAAAGACAAAAATCACCCTTTCTCTGGATATACTATATTGTCTTTGCTTCATGAGGAGATGCAATTAACACCTTTAATGAGAGCGTTTGTAACGTGAGTACCGCTATGCGCCCGTCTGTGGCTAGCGAATTGGCGTCTGGGTATCCTTTCTCTTCTATAGATTTTATTTGGGCATATGTTTGTCTGTCTTTTTATTCTTCTTCTCTTCACCGGACTGTATGATTGTCTGTTGGAATTGTGAAAAATCAGTGGGGATGGAAAAGCTTCTGTGTGTATGTTCATAATAGAAACACAGCGAATACTACCTACTTTTGTTGATGACTTTATCTGTGAAGATATTGAGTTTGTTCAATGCATGTGATGTGTACAAGTATACTTGATGGTAATCAGAACTCGGATGCGCCATGGGTACCAATTCAAAATGATGCGCCATCGCTGGGGCATAAGAGAATGATGGAGAAGCTCAGTCAAGCTATCGAACCTCCACCGCAAATCCAACGTGAAAATCGCTACCTGACGACATATCAGACGAGTCAGCCCAATTAGCAATACAAGATGAGAGAAGGAACAAAGAAGAAAGAAATCCTCAAACTGATATGCACAATCACATGGCTAGACGGGACAACAGTCTAGGATTGAAACATCTACATCTCCATATGATCCGTAATGGCGACTGATGCCGAACTGTCATTACTATTAGTAATCTCGTCTCCACTTTCTGTTGAGCATGATTTTCGAGCCATTGCGTAGCTGCACAGATCAGTTATGTTCAGAGCGCCATTTCCAATCTCACGCACAAGGACAAGTAGGTGAGAACGAACCGGAGTTGGGAATTCTTTATTATACAATAGGAAACTGTAAAACAGGCCTTGCCGATTGCTCAAGCCGGGTATATCTAAATTTTGATCATGATTTCCTGCCAGAATATTTCTACCCCAAGTTTCCACATCTATGGTGTTTAATGCTATTTAATGACATGCATTCAAACAAGTAGCATAATCATGCAGGCAGCGTTTTGTCTTCTAGGGCCGCTGCAATCTCGTAGTAGAATCTCATTGAGCAGAAGTGGAGAAGTGTCTTTTCGGACTAGATGTGAAGTGTTGATTTGATCGGTTTGGGTTGATAAGCCGATACTTCTGCCACTTCGGCCACCGCAGGAAAAAAAAACAGTTTCTGAGTTGAGCCAAGGCCAACGTCATTTGTCGTACATTGGGACGACTGATTGGAACCAGTACAAGTACCATCGCCTGATTTACGTGTTGAGTATATCTCAAAATTGTCGTCAAAAACGATATTGGATGTGAAAACCCCATGGCTTCTACTCACACCCCGATGCCCGTTAAACTCCCTCAATGCACCATAACAACTGGCTTGCCTTTCTCCCACGCATGCAAACTATCCCTCACATTGACCCAATATCTCAGTCTGACCGTCTCTCTCCTTGCCGTCTCCATATCCCCAGCCTCCAAAGCCTTCCCTACCACACCCTCAC